GCTTTGCTCACTGAATTTCCTGTTTTATTTCTTGTTTGTTTTATTTTAAGGGAGATCTTTGATGAGCTGCTGGAAACGGAAAAGAATTCTCAGGCACTTAGCATGGAAGTGGGGAAGACCACTCGTCAGGCCTTGTGAGGAACAAACTCCTGGGTTGGCAGTGTGCACTGCTTATTCCCTCCTACTGCTGCCCACCTCACCTTTCCTCTGCCCAAGGAGAATTTGGAATTCTACTTGATGCGGGAGCAACAAACAGCTCAGGGCCAAACCAAAAGACGAAAATTGCAATTATGTGGAACGCTCCATGCTAATTGTTTTATGGAAACTTTGGTCTCACATCTGTAGCTGATTATCCTCTTTTTCTCCTACAAGAGTGGCACTTCCTTTTGTCTTAGGAATACGTGTTGTAAATAATATATATATGTACATACACACACACACACACACACGTATGTGGAATGAATGGAGCCTTAAAGAGTTAGGATGAGCCACCATAGTATTCCTGTTCAAAATTAATAGCACAGCAGTTTGGAGAAGAAATGAAGGTGTCAAAGAGTCCATTCACCTGAGAGATGTGTAAAGATGTACATATTGGTTGGCATTTAGTTTTTCTGTTCCTTGAGTAGTTTCACTCAAGTCTATAATCTTTCACATGTGTTTCTTATTAGTAAAGTTCACTGGAAAGCCAGCTCTCCATGTTACACTAATGACAGTTTGTCCTCCTTGCAAGGGAGAGGCATTTCTGCCACCTGACGTGAGGAGCTTTTTTTTTTTTTTAATTACTTCATGGATTTGTAATGCTTTTGCTGTTTACATGCAGTCCCAAGAAATGGATTGTTGGTGCTTTGGAATGGGTTATGGTCTCCCGTTTGGTATTCATTGTACACTTCGTATTTTCTTTAAAAGAGATTCTTCACACAGTATATTCATCTATATTATTATGGTAGTGAAGATAGAATCTTTTCTTTTTCTTCTGTATCATCCTTCCATGGAGCAAGCATTACCCTAATAGATTGCAACCAAAATTTTAAGAGGTAGGAAAATAATATCCCAATTGGGATTCCCCAGCAAGGACACCTGGGGATAAGGAAGAATGCTAGCATCTGTCTGTCATACATGGAGAGGTCAGGATGAGGATTCTCGTGTTAAAGCTAAAAACTCTGGACCACTAGAAGCCCTACTGCAAGTGGGAAATTAAGTACATGAGCTTAGGATGAAGCTTGAGCATTTAATCATTTGTTGTCTGTCTTTGCCCTTAAAACAGGGTGAGAATTAGAATGAGATTGGTTTAGGTAATCCCAAGAACTAACAAGTAACAAAGGTGCATAATATGTTTTATCTTTTTAGGTGCTTTGAGTTGAGGCTAAATGGGAATGCAGCATTAAGTGCCACATTAGTCACTCAGCTGGCATAACCAGCTTGGATATTAAGCAGCCTGTGAAACCATATAAAGAATGAGTTTGAGAGGAGAATTCTATCCACAGAATAACTTTGTAAGCCCAGGAATCATTAGGTTCACACAGTTAAGTGTAGCAAAATGAAACTTTCAATATTTTCTTTCATGTTTTACTTCCTTTTATTATCAGGAAGGAGGGAATTCTTGTTTCACTTCTGAGGTAGGGACAAAACCACGTCAGTTTTTCAAGGGGAGGAAACATGTTAAAGTCCATCATCACAGAAGGTGCAACATCTTTTCTAGAACATTGCCTTAAGAGAGCACCAGGCCCCACACTTGGACGTGTTCTGACGTAGTAACTTGTTGTAAAATTCTCAGTTTTTAAATTGTAAATGGCCCCAGCGCGTTGGTTAACTACAGATGAAAAGTTCGGCCTCCTACCATTTACCTATGCACTACCACAGTGAACATTCCAAAATGGTATGCCGGTCAGTTGTGCGTGAATAGTATAGAGCAGAGGAAAATAACTTTTAAAACTGTAGCTTTTGCTGGAAAATAACTGGTTTTTTCCAAAATGAGTGAAGTGGTGATCAAATTCTGTAGCTAGTTAGGACTTCTCTTCCGCGTGTTTGCATTTGAGAGCTTCGAGAGGTGCTGTTTAAAACGACTGGAAATGTATTGAAGTGAGGGATACATTAGGGCATTAAAAAAAATAGAAATGATGCCATAGGCCTGATTGCCCATGAAGTGCCCTCATTTGACTTGCTTTTTGTAGCCTGTGTGTGTGTGGGTGGGTGTGTGGCTTGGAAGTACACGTGGCTTAGAAACCTGTTTTGATTGGATCTTCCTCTCTTGGGCTGGACTTGCTAATTGAAAATAGGTTACTGAGGTAGATGAATTATCTTACTGCTGATATGCTTGCAACTTTGGGACTTGAATTTTCCTTGGTAGCTGTGCATTTTTGTGGCCTTGTCAGCCTTCCTCCCTCCCTGTGCTCCTTATCCCCCCTTTCACTACACTTCTCATTTGGGTTCATGACTACAGATGGAAATTTTAGCTTTGAAGGGGTTTATTGGGTTTTTTTGAGCTGGGTGTATATATTTAAAAATTATAAGTAGATAATATATATATATATAATTTTTTTTTTTTTTTGCACAGCATGATCAGTTTGCTCAGAATTGGGGGGGATGGGGCATTTGGTATGTTGGGGCCAGGAAGGGACAAGTCAGATGGGGACAGAGTGCTTCAGTCCCAGGCAGCCTACACAGTCACCTTTCTACTGATAATACCAAATGTGGTTACATCACTTTAAATGACGTTGAATTGGTACTTGACAGCACTTCGTTCTGCAGACAGCTGATCTTAATTGAAATTTTTGGGAAGGGAAAACTAAAATTCAAACTTACTGATTCTTACCACCTAGTATTATGGAGAATTGGAAGTTGCATATAGCCAGATAGCTGCTGCCCCTTTAGTAGCCATGACTCTAATTTATGCCTATGAGATAGACTCTGTTTTGCGGGGAATATATTTATAGTGTGTGCACACTCATGCGTTTTGTGTCAGCAGGATAGAATAAAAGCAGCAAGTCCATGAATTGTTCTTCTATTTACATTTTGATTCCAAAAGCTATTTGTTTACTTGCCATGGTCTCTTAATTTCGGGCCTAACTTAATGGCTCAGTAACAGATGTAACAAATGTAAATGTGTTTACATTTTTAAAAATATACAGAGATACTTACAAATCAGCTGATTAACTCTGGGAGGCAAATAGTAGACTATACATTTCTTTACTTCTCTTCTTGTTCAAGTGTAGAATTTTTCCAAAAGAGAAACTTTAAGAATTAAAACCTCAGCAAGTGAATTCATGAATTTACTTATTTTTCCATACTGCAGTTACCATTATGTTACTATATAAACAAAGCTCTACATGTGTACAGCTACGAATATAGTTGTATAATGGAAATTATTTGTAAACATCTAAATTGAAGAGATTTTTGACAGTGTCTATATAGTTGAGTGTTATGAGTATAGAGAGAGCATGGGGGTGAGGTTTGGAACCATACAGAAAAAAAGTAGTTTGTAAACTCATTCGTGATCTGAAAAGAGTTTATACTAAAACAAATAAAAATAGTACTCTTCTTTCTTTGTCCTCTGAAATGAGTGCAGTGGATGCACTTAGTCATCCAAACATTTTTTTTTTTTGGTTCTTTGCTTTAATTGGCACCCCCTACCCTGCGCCCCCATAGGCGGTCTTTTGTTTTAAATCAGGGAAACAGAGCTAGATCTCCCAAGTACATTTGGATCTTGTATATATATGTATGGAGATTTTTAGAAACACCAACAACCCAGTACCAGATGCAAGTCCCATGAGTGTCCCCAAAAAACAGGCGTGTCCTTTTCCTTCTCCCCATCTTGCTTTACCACTGAGTAATGCTCTCTTTAAGTGTGTACAAAAACTACTGGGTTTCTGCCATCTGATGTCTTTTGAATGCAGTACTTCAGAATTCTAATTTTGTCTCTCTTGGTAGGTCTTAATAACATCTGAAAAACATAGATATTTTATTGGAAAACTACGGTTCGGTAGACCTTGAGAGTTTTGTGACGTTATTCAGCTGTGCGTCACCACGGTCACTGGCTCCTTTATGGCTTTGATTACTAGACTTCAGGCAGTCTTTTCCGTTGTATCATATTTATACACAGCGAATTTTTCTTTCCATGTGTGCTATATGTCTGAGGTTTTGAAGTTTTTAATAAAAAGTGTGCCAGTGTAAGTATAAGCAGTTGATTTTAGTAACATTGGACTTTTCTAAAGTACATTAAGAGGTTCAAAGTATAGGCATGTTCGCTGGTGAAACCATAGAGGGGATGAGGTTCTGGATCAAGACCCAAGTTCGGTAGGTCAAATGCCAAAACGAGCAATCAGCTGACCTGGCCTGTTTCAAGAACAGAGGGGATGCGGGGAGTGAGACCACACACCTCTCGTCCCCAGGTTTCCCTCCCTCTCTGAGCTTGTCTTTGCATCCCAATTCCTCTGGCCTGTTGTCAGTGTGGTTTACTTATGCTGTGGAGAGGAAAACAGAAGGAAGGGTCCTACACTTTGCCTAATTGAGCCACTACCAGATTTGCTGGCAGCTTTGGCCACATTATTTGTGAGGTGATTTTCTTTCTTTGTGTTCAGAGTGACTTGATTCTGATTCTTTATGTTGTTTCGTATGGAGCGGCACTTTATCTGTGTTTTAGCAGAACTGTTCCTCTATCCTTTACGGTTTTTCCTTGTTTTTGTTTCCTTTTTAAATTATGCATAGAGTTTTTTGTGTGTGTGAAATTAAAGCCTTTATTAACCTTGCGATGGTTTGACTGTTATTTCTGGAAAGGACTTATCCTTACAGACACTTAACAACCATTTGTTGAGGTTGTGAAATCACTTTCTGTTCCCTTCTGACTTGGACTTCAATGCAGCACCATTACAGCTTAAAGGAGATGGAAGGGCAAACCAACAAATGGCTGGAGGCAGCACCGAGTTCTCGTTTTCACTGCAGGAGCCTGGGAAGCTTGGCAGAGGTTCTGGATAACACTTTGTAAACTCGGCATTGGCCTTAGCTAAGCTCTTCCTTTGCCTTATTATTACCAGACGGGGGTGAAATGACCTCTGTTCTAGACCCAGTGGGTATGCTGCTCTCTCTGGGAACAGGTTAGTGTTGTGAAACTTCCTAACGGGGCCCTTTCCCGGGCCATTCAACTCTTGCAAAGAAGGAGTGCCCTTTAACTTCTCACCTAAGTCAGTGAGGAAAGTATGTGAGAAGGAAAAGCCATTACTCTGGGAAAGATGTGAAACTGCAAAAGGCTTCAGCCCACTTTCCATGGTTAAAAACGACTTACAGGAGAGGAAAACCTAGGGATGACTCCTCAGAATTAGAATGTTCTGTGGAGTGTTTGCTCTTCTAAGAAGGGAAAGCTCTAGAACAGGATGGTTAAAAGTGACATTAACACCCCATGGTCGAAACCATGTGACCACCTTCTTAAGAGCTGAAATTGGGACCACACTGTCCTTATGGAGGTACCATTCTGGAAGAATAGGTTGCTTACAGGTAAAATTTCACTTCAATTAGTATAGGACTAATACACCAGTCATGAAAACAAGGAAATTGAAAGCAGGGTAGGGAACTGCTCTCCAACCGCAACCACTCCTGCTTCTTAAAACAGGCCTTTTTCTTTCTTAAGGTGGTGTTGCTTCCATCGAGGGAGGGCAGAGAAGGCAGTAGGTGTCATCCCCAAGGCCTTGGTGAAATCCTCGATGGACAGGTGCTTCTAGAAGAAGAGAGAGACCAGAGGGCAACAGTCACATTCTCGCCCAGGGTTGACTTGGATGAGTCCTGTAGGTGTGACAGAGCAGTCACGTGAAGAACAAAAATAGGTAACGTCAGGAGAACCCGGAAAGAGATGGGGAGGAGCCAGGCGGCATGTTGAGGTCTAAGAAGTGTGATCCCTGAATTTGGAACATGAGCAGCATGAAGTAGATTGAGCTCCTGCTGACAAGTGCACCCTAGCTCTGAAATAAGAATTAGGACATTTGACTTCGCTTGGCTAGGGAATTTGCTAAGAGAGTGTCTTAGTTTTCCTCTCTCTAAAATGGGAGGAAAAAAAGGCCAATTTTTGCTTCTTTGTAATGCTTTTATGGAGATGAAAATAATATTACTCATGAAAGGGCACTGGAAACAAGGTATCTTGTTCATCTGTACTCAGTAAACAGTGAACCTAAGCGAGAGGATCCTACTTTCTGTAAATCTGGCCCACAGAGTAAGCAGATGAGCCCCCGAAAGGAATCTGCCCAGGTCTGAATATATGAGACTCCGTTGCTGTTACGACAGGAGGCCCAGCTCTGCTCGAGAGAGCCATGACCCTGGGGAGGCGCTCGCCCTCCTGGGTGCTACCTTGCCGGGGATCAAGTGAGCAGGCTGGCCGCCCCAGCGCGACGGGCCCAGCAAGCAGCAGTCTAGCGTCCAGGTACAGCTGTGCCACTTGCAAAACCCCCTGGGAAACAAAATATTTGGATGACTCATACCGGCTTCTTCCATCCTATGAATGATCTAGAAGGTTGGATAGTGCCATTCTACCTTTTTACTCTTGGCTTAGAGATCCTGACTGGGAGACACCTAACTAAGCCAGGGGTATATATCTTTCTCCATAAGATGAGGGGATTGCCTGAAATGACATTTGCTCCCAGCTAACACAATGTAATAGGGCTACTGCTTAAAGCAAGCCAGGTACCCTCAAGGCACATTCATGTGAGAACCCCAAACTGAAGCTACTAGAAAACAGCATCTCCCAACCTTCATCTCTGCTCCCCAGGCACCAAGAAGGGGACGGGGTGGTAAAAGCCATGGGTTTCTTTTCAGTGTGAGCCCCACCCCCTCCGCCAACCCGAGGAGAGCATTTGAGCCCACTCCTACAGAGAGCCCTAACTGAACAGCTTGGACAACATCTGTAGGTGGACTTCAAGCTCAGATGGGTCTGACGCCTCAGTTCTCTAACCTGTCTTTAGGTTTGCCTCCCACCCCTGGGCATTCTCAAGTCCCCCGAGAGCCTGCCCACTCCCCCAAGCAGGGAAGAAGAGAGGAAAGGTGAGTGGTTTGGGCATCCGTGGATGGGGAAGAGCTACCTACCCCAAACTGGTTTGTAGCAAACCCCTGGCCCAGGTCCCTCACAGCTGTGGCTGCAGGTGCCCTCCCTGGCCCCAGCCAGGCTGGCTCCACGGCTTGGCTGAGGCTTCTGGACTCTGACCCCCAGGGTAGAAAGGAGGAACTGCCCATCCCCATGGACTTGTAGCTTTCCGCTAGTCCTGCTCTTGGACTCTGTGATCCTGCCAGCTGATGACTGGCCTCGCCCATACCCACATCCGCCTCTCTGTGGCTTACTCACTGGTACTCAAACACTCAGATTATCCTCTTGCTACTGCCTGCAGCCAGACCCACCACCCCACTGTTCATCGTCACTGGCTCCCCTTCCGAGTCTGGAGCAGTCAGGCCTGAAGTCCTCTCCTACTCTCCCCACTTAACACTGACCTACAGCTTCCCCCACAAGAATGTACTGGCGCTCCCAGGTGGCGCAGTCGGTTGAGCGTCCGAATCTTGGTTTCGGCTCAGGTCATGATCTCGGGGTCTGGACATCAAGCCCTGCTGGGCTTCGCTCTCAGAGAGGAGTCTCTCGGGATTCTCTCTCCCTCGCCCTCTGCCTCTCCCCACCCCTTGCATGTGCGTGCTCTCTCGCTCGCTCGCTCTCAAATAAATCTCCTTTAAAAAATCAGCAACAGGGGCGCCTGGGTGGCTCAGATGGTTAAGCGTCTGCCTTCGGCTCAGGTCATGATCCCAGGGTTCTGGGATCGAGTCCCGCATCAGGCTCCCTGCTAGGCGGGGAGCCTGCTTCTCCCTCTGCCTCTGCCTCTCTCTCTGACTTTCATGAATAAATAAATAAAACATTAAAAAAAAAATCAGCAACAGACAACCGACTTTTTAAAAAGGATCTTAGATTCTGTAGACTGTTTCTACCATGGTAGGGTTGTCTTGATTCTGTTTGTCCCATTCCGAATTCACCATCCAGCCTCCTATCAGTCACCGGGTTCAATAACACCAGCTGCCCCTCCTTTTAGAAATACCTGGAGCCACATGGTACCATGGGAGCGGCAGAACTCCGAAGCCCTGGTCCTTGCTCTGACTTGCTGCTAAGTAGCTACGTCAGGCACATCAGGCAAGTCACGTGCCCTGCCTCCAGTTTCCTCAGGCAGTTGTAACAGCAGCTTACATTTACATACCAGGGGCTGGGCAAATAATACTCATATATTACTGTTACAAAAAATATGTTGGGATCGTCCCAATATTCCAGTGAGGACACAGATGGGTAGATCTGGGAAAGAATGCATGAACATGGTCTCCAAGGTGAAGGGCAGGATGCAAATGCTCTGGGAACCATACACTTAAACATATATCGGGCCCAAACCCCTAACAGACTTGTTGGAGAAATCAGGCATCTCTCTTCTGTAGATTCCTTAATTCATTAGCAAGACATCTTTATGGTTTATCATCCCGAGAGTACGTTGTCTCTCGATACCCCCATCACGCTAGATCAGCCATCCATTTTGGATCTGCCTATAGTGGGAATGAATATTGGAAATGTATTTTTAACAAGCTCTCTTCTTGCCATACTCTCTCCCCACGAGTGACCCGCGTGGGCCTGCAGGTGCAGCCACCGGAAGCACCGCGCACTGGCGGGTCTCTGAATAGCCTGCCCACCAAATAGGCATCACCCGGGATGTCCCCGGGTGCCTCAAACGGCATGGCTACCCCCATACTCACGGTTGTCCCCCTCTAAGCTCAGTCTGACCCAGGGTCTTTTTGTCTCCGAAAATGATGCAATTGCCCCCCCCATCACACCCTTCATCCAATAATTACCTAGTGTCATTGACTTTACCTCCTAAAATTCCTCTAAACCCCCTCCTTCCCTCCACTTCCCCAGCCACCACTCAGCCGGCCTCTGGTCACTGCTTTTGCCACCTTCCAGTCCCTTCTTCACTGGGTAGCTATAGTCATCTTTTTTTTTTTTTTTTTAAAGGTTTTATAAAACCTGGCTGGCTCCGTCAGTGGAGTGTGCCACTCTTGATCCCGGGGTTGTGAGTTCAAGTCCTACATTGGGCGCAGAGATTACTTAAAAATAAAATCTTTTTTTTTTTTTTTTTAAGATTTTTAAACTTTTTAAAATTAATCCCCGCTGTGCTCATTCCCTGCCTCTGGGCTTCACGCATGCTGTTCGCTTCTCCAGGAAAAATCCGTTTTGACTGAATAATTCCTGTTCACCTTTCAGAAGGAAATCTTCTCTAAGTCAGGTTCCTTTTTGGAAGACCCTTCATGGCACCTGTAGTTCACCTTGTAGCGCTTACCATCACTGAAATTAAATCATAGTGTAATCAGGGTCCTTTGAACCCTCTGTCCCCACTGAGATGTCACCTCACGTGAAGGTGGAGACCAGGTGTGTTTTGTTCACCAGGGCATCCCCAGCACCTAATCACCTGCAGGGCACAATCTGGGGGTCATTTAGTGTTGTCCAGCAGATGGCCAGCCAGCTTTCTTCATCCTCGAGCCTGACCTACCTCCTTCCTGCTGGGATCCACACCCTCGGGGAGCTCCTCCACAGGCTTGTTCACCAACTGCTCCAGGGGAAAGATGGGTAGAGGCCCAGAAACGAGGTTGCTATTCGCATTGAACATGTCCAGTTTAGGGTTGGTGATCTCCTAGGGAAGAGAAGGAAACCACTGGTTCATTCTGCTGGTTTGTGGCTACCTCCCAGGCTGCCCTTCTCTCTGGAGTCAACATTGATTCTAGATTATCTCCTTCGAGAAGCCTTCCGTGACCCCCATATGCACACTCCTCATAAGAACACAACACCTGGGGTGCCTGGGTGGCTCAGATGGTTAAGCGTCTGCCTTCGGCTCAGGTCATGATTCCAGGGTCCTGGGATTGAGCCCCACGTTGGGCTCCTGGCTCAGCAGGGAGCCTGCTTCTCCCTTTCCCTCTGTCTCCGCCCCCTGCTCAAGCTCTCTCTCTCTCTGTATCTCTGTGTCTCAAATGAATAAATAAAATCTTTAAAAAAAAAAAAAAAAAAGAACACAACACCTGATTGGATCTGTGAGCTAAAACTTGGTGGTTTGTATCCAACCAAAGCCAATGGATCCAAGATGATTATTTTGTTCTATGACTTATGAACTTCTCCATGGCTTCCCACAGATGTTCGAGGTCCACCTTGGACATTTATGATCCTCTTTCTCTTATCTGTTATGAAACTGTCATCAGTAAATTCCCTTAGCCTTGACCTATCTATCCATGCTTTCCTGCCTGAACCATCAGTCCACCAAGAAGGGTTTATTGAGGGCACAGGGTACTCGGGCTGCGGGTGGGGCTGAGGAGCCAGCCTTATCTGCTGATTAAGCCAGCGTGCTTGTGGAATTGCTCTCGTGTTCTGGACACATTTCTACAGAGTCTACTTGGCCCTGCCTCCTCTGCGAGGCTATGAACTTCTTGAGGGAAAGGTTTTGCTTTCAGATTCCCATAACCCCGGGCCAACAGGTTCAATGCACGGGGTTCTGTTCACTAACTGAGGGACTGCAGTTTGCACCCGGAGAAAGGACCCCAGGGGTGACCACAGCAGACAAATCATTCTGTCTCTAAGTATAGTCCATGGACTAACTACATCAAATCACCTGGCTCTTCATTCAAAACAGGCATGTTCCCGGGGCTCATCCCGATTCCACGCACCAGAATTTGGGGGAGTGAAGGGGACTTTGGGATCTGCGGTTTTTGTTTTTGTTTTTTTAAAGATTTTATTTATTTGACAGAGAGAGACACAGCCAGAGAGGGAACACAAGCAGGGGGAGTGGGAGAGGGAGAAGCAGGCTTCCTGCGGAGCAGAGAGCCCGATGTGGGGCTCGATCCCAGGACCCTGGGATCATGACCTGAGCCAAAGGCAGACGCTTAATGACTGAGCCACCCAAGCGCCCCAGGATCTGCATTTTAACCAGCTGTCCCCACCTCGCTCCTGGCTCCCATCACCTGGATTCTTATGCATGCTCAGTCTAGGCCATGGAGGAGAAGAAACAGCAGGAGGCCTTGAAGTTCAACAGGGAGAAGCACTTCCATGAGCGGTGGGAGGACATGGTGGAAAGGGAAGCCCAGGACCCTGCTATCTTTTCTGGAGCTTTCTCAGCTCCCACGGGGCTGCGACATCAGCCAGCCACCTGCCCCGTACTCACCGCAGTGATCTGGTCCCAGTCCCCAGAGTTTCCAAGCTCCGCCTTCAGGTCCTCATAGGATTTGGTGTTCTGCACATAAAGCCAATAACAAGTTAGACCCAGCTCTCAGCAGAGGACATGGAAGAATTTTTTCCTTTCGGGGGGTTGAAAGAAGGCTGGCCTAAGGCCCAGGGGTGGGGGCTGGAGGAGGGACCCTGAAAAAGGAGGCTAGACGGGAGGATGAACACCCACGGGGCTGATGGTCAGGAAAGGCCCTGCTCAGCACCACGTGGGGATAGAGGCCACCTTCAGAGGCAGTGTGGGCAGCCATGTGCAGCCTGGAGAAGCTGCCTCCCCTATGGAGGCTCTGGGGAACATGGGGGGCTTGGAAGCCAGGGGCCTCCTCCCCTCCCAGAGCCTGGAGGGGGACCCTGCCGCAGAAAGGTGAAGGGAGTCAAAGGGACGCTGGCTCCACGAGGAGCCGCATCTCTATAAGCCCAGGGCCTGGCCCCCAGCATGGCGCATCATGACGGCCATTGTGCACCTAAAGTCACCAGGCCTTAGCCTTCCTCCTTCCTGCAGACAACGTGCACGGGCTTCCATTTTGAGGACCTGCCCTCTGCTTCTACCTGGGGCCAGTTCAGGAAAGTCCTGTGGCAGTCCAGCTCAGCGTCCCTCAGGTAAGGACCACACGTATGAGCCATTTTGCTTAGAAGTGGGTGCCAGGAAGACATTCGTCTGTCCTTTAAAGAACTGCCGTGTGTCATTTTCATCTGGTTTGAGGATGCACCAACACTGTCCCGGAGAAGTTTCTACAGTGATGGAAATGTTCTTTCTCTGCGCTGTCCAACCTGGGAGCCACTAGCCATGAGTGGCTACGAAGCAGTTAGCTTGGGGCTTGTGAGAAATTGAATCTTCAGTTTTGTTTAACTTTAGTTGATTTAAGTTCAAATGGTCAGTACAGCTCTTAGTAAGAATGTCCATCAGCTCTGAGCTACATCTCGTGCCCAAGAAAGGCACGGTCATGAGCCCGGGTTTTTGATAGACTTCCTTCCCTCTCCCTCACCAGGGGGCTTCATGGGCTTCCGCAGTCTGACTTTTTATTCGAGGTCCCCTAGAACCCCTTTAAAAATCTGTCACTGGTCGTCTATCACAATGAATAGAAAAGCCTGGAAGTCCACCCTGCCCTTGGGGTGTGCCGTGAGCGGCCTCCTGGAGAAGGTCGTGCTGGGCTGGAAGGATCAGGGGGGCGCTGGCCACTCACACTCCACTTGAAGGGATCCCACGCCAGGAACCAGCCTGTGAAGGTGGGGGGCTCGTGTCCCTGCTTCACCACAATGATGGGGGTCTCGGGGTCACGGCCGCTGGGGTGTGTCTTGAGGTATTCCTGTGCTGTGATTGCTGCAGCTTTCTTCTCCTCCTCTTTGGCGTGCTGCCCGATCCAGAAGAAGACCTGAGGAGAATCCAGAGTTCGGGTAGGCCTTCCTGTCCTCCCTGGCCCACCGTGCTCCGCCTGGGGTCCGCCAGGCTCTGAGGACCGACAGTGGAGCCAAGTGACCTCGGGCAGGCCCCATCTGGTCTCGACTTTGCATCTGGGAGATGAAGAGGTTGGACAGGTGTCCTCTACTTGGAGACTCTGCCAGTGTGGGACTCTCGGCCTCTCCAGAGCCACAGACCCTCAGAAACGTGCTTCTGCCATGTGAAAGAAACGGGGCTTTGGGAAAATACGTCCTGCACTGCAGCCCCTTCCGGAACTTTCCTCTCTACCCGCCTCCTTCTTCCTTAGGCTCTTGTTCACAATACTACTCCCAGGAAGAATGAATGAGGGAGCCCAGAAAATGTCACAACTTACCTGTCCATAAAGTCACCATTTCTTGGCCCTGGGGCTTGAGCTGGTGGTAAGGGAGGGCCCCAGACCTCAATCCTACCTGGTCCCAGACATCGAGCAGGAACACATCGTCCTCTTCCAAGTCATCCTGATTGAAGTCAGGGATTTCTGTGGCCAGGAAGCGCCCGGTCTGGTTGGAACATTCAAAGAGCCGGGGGGTGATGGCCAGGCTTTCCTTCTGCAGTCTGCAGGATGCAGAGAAAATTGTGGCGGCAAGAAGAAGGTGTGGGGAAGGAAAAATGGAGGACGCAGAACTCCGACACAGAAAGCCCAACTTCTAGGAAAACGCTCTTTTTTCTGACCACACGAAAAGTGCCCCCCTCCTCCCAAGAGTCTGAGAGCGCTCCAAGGCAGAAGTCCCCGCTGCCTTTCCGGGACGAGCATTCCAGAGGCTCTTCTGCAGGCCCGTTGGGAAGTTCTGATATCTTCCTTCTAGGCCTCCTCCGGCCACTGCAGGAATGCCCTTTCCCTTTAAACGGGGGAATAGTGGACCCTGGGTATGCTTTAGAAAAAACACTGGAAAGAGTGTTTCCAGCTGGGGCTTCTCAACATCCAGGTCCTGTGTCGGGACTAAAGGACAGGGTTCTGGCAGCTTCGTCCCCCAGGGCAAGCCCTGCCCCTCTCTTTGAGTTGCTTCCTAGCCCGTGAACTCCATTTGCCAAGAAAACCCCCACCGGGCCCCAGGCATGCCCCTGGGCTCACGGGGCTCTCAGGGCCCATTGGGCCGCCCCTTCTTTCTTCATCTTGTAGCCCTGGGGACTGGTACACAGAGTCCTCAGTCCATGCTCACTGCAGACTCTGGGCCATGGGCTGGAGGGGCTGGGAGGCTCCCCAGCGTAGAAGGTGAGCTGGAGGCAGAGGGACCCCACAGTTACCTCTTGGTGCTGGCATAGGGAGCCTTTCCACCCAGGGCCACCCAGAAGCTGGCCGGCTCCTGCCCTTCCACCACCACTTGTTTTTCTGTCCGAGAGATGGTGTCCGCAACCATCTTGGCCATTTCCCGCTCGTCCCCGCTACAGCCCTGGGGAGAGGGGGGTCAGCTGTGTTGGGGGAGACCATCTCTACTGCCACACCTACCCCCACCCTTCCACCATGTTTACTGGCCCAGAGCTCCTGGGTCCAAGAGGGCCCCTCCTGCCTGGATCAGGACCCCATGCACACCCCTCCTCTGTCCTTGACACTCCAAAGAACGGCAGAGGGTACAGGAGCCTGCACTCTCCTTACAGGGCAAGAGAAAGCATCCAAGAGGCTGAGATCAACGGAGAGGCAGCGACAGGTATGAGGATAGTGAGAGAGAGCCCCAGACACAAAGACAGACCAACACTGGGACAGGCAGGGTGGCCGGGGACAAAGAGAACGAGAGATACTGAACCGGACTTAGAGGCAGAGAATGTGAGGGTGGAGGGAGACTGGCTACGGGCAGCTGGGAAATGAGCCAGAAGGACCTGCTGGCCAGGGGCTCCCCTGAGGCCCGGGGACCCCTAAGATCCACTTGGGGAGGGGGAGGCCACTGCACGCACCTTCCCGCACCACAGATAGCAGCAGGACTGGGTCTTAAGGATGAAGACGTCATTGGAGTTGAGGAAGCTGGCCCGGGGTTGGACCTCAAAGGCCTTGGTGTTGTTGGTGCTGGTTCCCTGCACCTGGAACAGCCGTGTGGAGGGCACTGGTTCCAGTTTGTTGGCCCGGGAGGTGCCTCCCTGCAGCAGGTGTGGAGAAGGCAGAGAGAGAGAGGTGGGAGCAATTTAGTACAGACAGTGGAAGGTTCTCAAGAAGGGCATAGAGAACAGAGTGGAAGAGAGGCTGGGGTGGGGTCTGCCCGCCCCCAGGTCCTCTGCCGCATCATCACCAGACTAACCTTTCCAAAACATTGCTTTTGTCATGACACTCCCCTGCTCAGAAATCTTCAATGGCTCCCTCCTGCTCATAGGCTGGAACCAGCTCCTCAGCCCAGCCTTTGCAGGCGCCACATGATGCAGGCGCAAACTGCCCTTCCAGACTCACTCTGCTCTCTCCAGACTCTCCCCTTTAGCTCAGCCAGGCTTCTCCCTGCTCTACGTGGATCCCCTCCTCTGGGCTGTTGTCCTTGCTGTGCCCCCTGCCCTGCATGCCCTCATTTTACCTCTGCTGAGCGCCTCAACTCTGACCCTGATGTCAAGAGCCCCTCCAAACCCCCCTCCAGCACGAACTCCCTGCCTGCCCCAGATTACTGTATTCACACTGGGCAGCGAACCCAACCTGCATGTCTGGCATTTAACCACATGGTGCCTCGGGCTGTTAGTTCCCTGCTCTCCCAACAAGACCCGCCTTCTCCAGCCCCTGCACCTTGCAGAGGGCTGCAGGCTTCATGGGTGCTCCATAAACAGCTGATTTCTTAAACGAGTGCTGGAGATGTCTATTCCATTATGTTGGAAGGCACCAATGTTGTTTGGATAGGTTCATCAGGTGGGCAAATCTAGCCAAAAGAACTACCTTTCTCATGCAGAGGACGGGGCGGGGGTGGAGGGGGTGGGGGGGGTGGAGTGTAGAGAGGAACGGGACTTGCCCACGCTCCATACTCATTCCTATGGAGTGGCGGTTTCTATTGCTGGTTCCACATGGGTGATGGGGCCTCACACAGTCTTCAACAAAGTGCTTGCTTCACCCCCAGGCCCGCCCCGGGTCCCCTTCCCCATCTCCTGATGCCCACCCCGCCGCAATCGTCGGTCCTGCCAGGCGCCTCAGGCCAGCAGCCACACCTGGTAGATCACCATTCGTCCCTTGAAGATGGCCATGAGGTGTGGTGGCTCCTTGCCCATTGGGACCCGGATCTGCACCAGTTCGTTGTTGTACTTCTGGTCCAGGATGACGGCTTGATAGGCAGAGGCTGCTATTTCGTCCTGGCTGGCCTGGCTACCCTGGGGACAAGCATGATGGAAGTTGGGGGGACGAGGCCGGCCCTCGTTCTGAGCCCGTCCCCGGCTGCAGCAACGACTCCATCCCCGATTCTCACCTAGCTCCAAAACGGTCTGCCCCACCAAATACCGCCCTGGCCACAGCCCAAACCCCACGTGACCCAGACCCGTTTGAGCCCAGCCCCACACCTAATCCTTTCCTGGCCCTCCGCCAGCCCTAGCTCACCTGCTACTCCGCCCTTAACCCCAGACCTCCTCTCCTTCTTACTCGGGGGCACACCATGGCTATCATACCACTACCCCCAGCACCCAAGCATCTCCCTGTGCACTCACATCTGGACCCACAAATCCATGGTGCTTTGAGCAGATGAAGGGGATGTTCTGGAAGCCATGGAAATTGGAAGGGAGACTCCAAGAACTCAGAGAAGGGGCAAGGATTGTGAATGGGGGTACCCTGTACCACTGGGATCTCATAGCCTAAACAGTCCCAGGATGGAAAAGGGGGTGAGCTCCCCATCACCAGAGGTATTCAACTCAAGGGTGATGGCCACTTGGAGTGGGAGCCGAGCTAGCTGTGCTCGGGACAGGGAAGGGTGGGGCCTGACCTGCCAAATGTAGAGCAGGTAGTGCTTCTTCTCGCCGATGAGGTAGGTGTACAACAGCAGGTAACAGTCACCCCCGTAGAAGTGGCCTAGCCACTTGGAGTCCACCGGCACCAGCTCCAGGTCCTCGATGCACCACACCTGGGGCCAGTACCAAGCTGGTACGAGGGCCAGGACAGGTTCCGCCGACCCCGCCCCACCCAGCACCCGCCTCCCACCCTCACCATACCTCCACCTCGCCGCTCCCGTCGTCCACCATCTTCTGCTGGGCGGCCACCTGAGGCTGCACGTGCATGGATGTGGCATCAAACTTCACCTGTTCTACTTTGGCTGGGGGGGTGGGGGGATCAGGACACCAGCTGTCATAAGCTGAGGTCCCCCAGGTCCTCACAACAGCCCTGAGTGATGACTACAATTCTTAGATCCATTTTACAGATGGGGAAGCTGAGGCTAGAGAGATCGGATGGCTTACCCAAGGTCACAGAGCTGGAGAGTGGCAGTTATAATGCGAAACCCCATCTCCCATCCCTAAGACTCGGGCTTCACCAGGGCCTCCCAGAGGGGCCAGGAGAGGGACAACCCTTTCATCCTCCTCCAGGGGCCTGGTACTGAGCTTGCGTTCAGCAAATATTGTCTGGTGAGACACTGACGCTATCTGGTTTCCAGGGAGACAACCCCATTCCAAAGGAAAGACAGGTGCTTCTCAGCTTCCTTTTTGTGACAGCTCAGTTTACTCATGTTCCCTCGTGTCCCCCCCCCCCCCCCCACCGGGGGAGCCCAGCGCCAGGGGGAAAGAGCACATGGAAGAGGCGGGTCCGGGAGGGAGGACAGGTGCAGGGGCCCTCCTAGCCCCACTCCGGCTCCTGACCCCACCCTGCCTCGGGCCGGCCCTCACCCACAGAGCCCAAGGTGTGGGTTTTGCCCAGGCCTGAAGTCCGACTGGGCAGGGTCCACTTCTGGAAGAGCTGCTGAAAGACGGCTGACTCAGCCCCATCATTCTGCACCTCCACCTGTGTGTTCGGCGGGTACTGCTTCGCTTTGATAAAGTTCTAGGAAGAGGACGGGGTGGCTGAGTCTGTGTCCCTCTCCTAGCCCCCCACAGCCCCGCCCCCAATGCAAGCCAGAGCCTGGCTCGAACCCCAACCAGACCGAACCACAAACCTATCCCTGGTCCCAATCCCAAACTTGAACCCAACCCCAGTCCCAGTGCTGACCCCAAAGCTAAACCCTGCTCTGGCCCCAACCCCAAAACCCAAAGAGACCCCAAACTTGACCCTACCTCAGTTTTAACCCCAATCATCAGCTGCCCTCTCTAACCTTGACCCCAACCCCCATTCTAATGCTGACCCCAAGCCAGCTAGGGTTACTGACTCTAGCCCTAATAATGACCCCAAACTCTGACTTGGTCCCAACCCGCCGGCTGACCCAATCCCCTCTTGCGGGAAGGCCAGCCTCCATTTCTCCCTTTCTCTGAACCGAGCTTGAGGTGGGAGCTCACACCCTGAGGAGGCCCCCAGGTGGCCTGGAGACTGGCCCCCTGGCGTGCAGAGAAACCCCCAAGACAGCTACGGAACTGACCCTCAGCACCCCTAGCTGGGTCAGGCCCAGAGCTTTCCAAGGCCTCTGCCTAGCGCTACACCGGGTCTGACCCCACTCCTCTCCCCCTGCTGCATCTGTTTCTTTCCCCTCTCCCTTCCCGGACCCCCCCCCCTGCGCACCAGTGCCTGGTTCATGGCTCCTGTCCTCTCCTGGGCGTTGGCATCCTTCCCCTTCCACACGTAGATCTTCAGGCCCCCCTGGTCCAGGATGTAACAGTCCTAGAGGTGGGAGACAAGGATGCAGCATGGGGGCCTGAGCCGGTGGTGCCGGGCCGCAGAGCGGCAGGCACGGACCCACTCCAGCCCCCGGCACTGCTCCCACTTGGGGGAGACTGGGCAGGGTGCAGCGAGATGGGAGCTGGGGCTGGGGGTCTCCACGCCCTCTCACCCCGTGATTGAGCAGGTCCTGGGTGAGGGGCCTCGTGGCGACTTCTCTAACCACCAGCTTTCCCTCTGAGTCAGACACGCTGTAGGACAAAGGCACAGCAGGGATGGGAGGGGTCCCACAGCCCAACCCTCCCACCCCCCGGGGGAGCGCCCCGCGGCCACAAGGAGCCCAGCTGGACACTCACTGGTACAACTTGAGGGCGGCCTTGACCGCCGGCTCCACCACGTCGTCGGGCACTGCGGCCTTCAGTGACCCCCGCGGGCCCAGCACGTGGTTCATGATCTCCATCAGCTTCGGGGTCTCCTTCTCATTCTCCCCATCCACCACCGCCACGTAAGTTCGCCCACCCCGCTCCTGGTCTCGGATCTCCTTGGCCAGGGTCATGCCCTGCAGGGAGGCCCCGGTGACCCGTGAAGGCCGGCGGGGGGATGGGTACACGTCCGCCACCCCCAGCCATGCCAGGAGAGCCTGGGCCCCCCTCCGGCAGCCCCAGGGGACAAGGCACCTGTCCTGCCTGTACCCCCGAGAGTGCACCAAGTGAACCCCATGGGAAAGCAGGTTTCTTGTTGGCAGGAGGGTATTTGGGGTGCACTTGCTGGGCCTTCTGTTTTGACATTGAAATTTGCGATTTTACTTTGCAGTTTTGGACAAAAGCCGAGCCCTGGATATCAAAGCACTCAGTCTCTTTGCCCCAAAGTGAGCTCGCATGTGCACGCGCGCGCACACACACATGTGCATATAAACGGCCGCAAGTATGTACACACGCGCGTGCACGGCACACTTCCTCATGTGCACACACACACACACTCACTCACACCCTGGCTCCCCCTCCTCAGCCTAGTGGCCACTGCTCTGGGGACTGGCATTTCAGTTGCCAGCCCCAGTCCCAGGACTTCTTCCTATTTCTGTCCCCAGAGCAGCTCTCTGCTCTCCTCTCATTTACCCAACTTCCATGATAACCTGTTTTAAGATGCCCCAAACTGAACTCGGTCCCCCCCACCTTCCCCAATCTGTTGCTCCTGGTCTTTCCCATTTCGAGAAATGGCACTCCATCCACTCCATGGTGGCTCAGGCACAACGCCCCTCTCTCCTCGGCCCCATCCGCCACACGCATAAGGCCAGTGGATCCCCCCTTCCTGTCCCCGGGGCCTGGGGCACCTGCTCCCATCCTCACGCAGAGGGCCGCCTGCTCCCTGCATCCCCGCAGCCGCTCCACACCCCTTCTCCACTCAGAAGTCAGGACGACCTTCAGACCTCCTGGGCACCGAGAACAGACCCCAGCCTTCTCATGCCGCCTCCTGGCCCCCGAACACGCCCTGAGAGCGAGCCCTCTCCCTTCTCCCAGCTCCCTGTAATCGCCATCCATTGCCCGGCACCGGCCACTTCTCCCCTGCCTTAGGGCCTTCCCTCCCCCACCCCACCTCCTCCAGGAAGCCTTCCCAGAACCCCCCATGTCACACGCCCACCCCTCACTCCTCAGCTACTCCCTTCATGTCTGTGTCCCCCGCTCGATGGCCAGCTGGAGGCCATTCACCACGGCACCCGTGATGCTTGGCACAGGGTCTACCACATAACAGGGACTTGTCACACCTCAGTGGCTGAGTCCCGGAACTCATGCAAACCCCAGCGTGCGTACCTCTCCACATACACACGGAGACTCAGATCTACCTTGGAACACACCGTCCAGGGCAGTCAGCCGAGAGGGGCCTGGGGACGTGGGGGCAGGTTGGGGGTGGCAGACGTCTGGCGAGTGTGACTGGCGGGGGAGGGGTGGGTGGGACTGGGGAGAGGGGTGGTGCATGGGCAGCGCTTACCCTGAGTCTCTCCATGCGGTTGCTCTCTGGCCCGTTCCACTGGATGATAACCTTCCCCAGGTCCAGGAGAAAAATATCCCCACAGTTGAAACTCTTCCAAGACACCTCCACCTGGAACGCCAGAGGGGAGCTGCAACCTCCACTCAGATACTTGCCACAGTCCACGGCTCTTCCCTGCCTCCTCCCTGCCCTCACCCCTCCTTGGCCTCTGCCCTCCACCCAGGCTGGGAGGGGACACAGGAGGCCATGCCCCAGGGCCCGGGCCAATGCCCACCTCTCCGGCCACCACGTTCCTCTTGCCCTTGACATGCAGCAGCCGCTGGACGTTGTAGGAGTTGGTCTCCACCTGCTTCATGCCAGAAGCCACACCCCCCTTCTGGATCCTGAGAAGAGACGGAGCTGACCCAAGGGAGTGAGCGGGCTGGGAGGCGTGACAGAGCCGGGGTGCCCGGCTGCCACTGGGGCCATCTGAGGGCTGGGCCCGGGACTAGGCTGAGGTGCACGAGGTGCCTCAGCTGCCCACTCTGAGGTACTCGCTCTCAGGATCATGCAAGTGCAAGGTCAGTCTTCTGCGTGCATGTGTGTGACCTTCCTTAGCCTCCTTAAAGTTTGCACCCTAGGTGCCTCACTCCCCGCCCCGCAGACACTGCCCTGCTGAGAGGGCCCGCAAAGAAGGGCGCATGGTGATGTGGATTGATGGAAGGACAGGACAGAACTCGGAGGACAGGACAGAACTCGGAGGACAGGAGGCTGCAGGGAAGGGGGAGAGGGGAGATGCTATGGACTGAATTGTGTCCCCTCCCAAACTCCTATGTTGAAGCCTTAACCCCAGTGTGGTGGTATTTGGAGATGGGGCTTTTGGGAGGGGTAGATTTTGATAAAGTTTAGATGAGGTCCTGAGGGTGGGCCCTCCGTGATGAGGTTAGTGCCCTTATAGAAAGAGACACCAGAGCGCTTGCTCACTCGCTTCACCATGGGAGGATACAGCGAGAAGGTGGCTGTCTGCAAGCCAGGAAGGGGGCTCTCACCAGCAACCGAATCAGCTAGCACCTTGATCTTGGACTTCCCAACCTCCAGAACTGTGAGAACATTAATTTCTGTGACTTAAGCTACTTATTCTAGAATATTTTGCTAGGGCAGCCCAAGCAGACAGGAGAGATGCCAGCTCAAATGCCCAAAGGGATGGGCCCTTGCTCTGAGTATGGGAAGAAGAGGAGCAAGACGAAAGGGAGGGGTGGGGACCGTGGCTCACTGGAGAGCTCCCGGCCTATCCTACTGCTCAGTAGCAACTTGACTCTTGACTGTGTGTTTCCACGGGAAAAGCCCAGAGGCCAGAACTTCAGACTTTTCAAGAAAAGGTAGAAATCAGCGTGTTGAGTGTGAAAGTGTTCCTTTAGAGAATGGAGAGTAGCCATCCGCCCACGGGCCAGAGGGAAGACTTGATGTGATGCCCTGGAAGGCCTCCTTCGGTCCCGAGCTCTCCAGAACATTCAAAGAGGGGTTGATTTACAAAAATACATGGTGCGCAGACTTTCACAACAGCCTCTGGGGCAGCTAAAGACAGAGGGATAAAGACCAAAGATGGGGCAGCGGCAGGAAAGGGGGCAGGGAAGCTGAAAGAACAGAGGTCTCCAAAAGCCCACTGTGGGTCTCCCCGAGAGGCTCCCCGCGCTGGCCCGAGCTCCGTCCCTCCCCGCCGGCAGCGCACCCCTCCGTACACAAGGCCCTGTTTGAAGTAGCCTCGGAAGGCCTCGCTCTCGTTGCCCTGGACCTCACGGTGCTGGATGGCCCGGCCATTCAGGAAGTCGTCCATCTGTGTGGTGTAGATGGCAGCCGCCCCCTGCTCGTCCTGGGACGAGGCCTGGCCGATCCAGTAGTGGATGTCATAGGACAAACTGCTGCCGGTCTTGTGGATCTAGGGAGGACGGGGGATGCGCGGTGTGCCCCAGGCCCTGGGCTCCCACGCCCTCCCGCCGCCTCCCTGCTCTGCATGGTTTCGCACACACAGGGGGCCTGGGCCGCGGGTGAGCTTGGCAAGGGGAGGCGGGAAGCGCACGGCGCGGGTGGTCAGGAGCCGAGAGTACAGCCCCCACCCCGCCACAGACTCTCAGAGACCCTCAGGGTCCTGCTCCTCTCGTCTTGAAAGTAAGTTGGTTGCCTAGAGCAGCATTTCCCAAGGTGAGGTGCGAGCTCGGTCAGGTCTGTGAGGCGATTCGGTGGTGTGCAAGCCAATGTGCAGAGGAAAGGATTAAAGTAAATATTTTATAGCTACTTTCTGTTTGTGACCTGGGACACCGCCTTCCACTTATTATGGTAATGATGTGGAGTTGTGTTTTTAAATAAATGGATTTAAATTTGAAAAGCGCATCAATATAAGGACAAATACAAATGCATTAAATAGTACAGGATGTGGCAAAAACCAAGAAGGTGAAACGAAGGGGACTATGGATTTCGGAAATGTGGACCTGAGGTAGGGTGACATCCTACTCGCTCAGAGGGTCCCCACGACTATAAATTCAAAGAAGTTCACCCCGGGTGGGAGCTCAGTGAGCCAAGGGCAGGGAGAGCCTCTTCTACCTCTCACCCTGCAGAGCTACCAAAGGCGGGGCCCCTGGGCACACCCAGCCCATGCTGGCTAGGGGTAAAACCTGGCCAGCCCTCCTTCCCGCCCCCAGCCTCAAACTTCCTCTCTGACACTGCAGAGGCCTTTGCTGTCGGCTCAGACCCTCCCATGCTCGCCCCCCACTCACAGCCAGGACTATGTAGCAGTCGCCTTCATAGAAGCTTCCGAAGGTGCTGGAAGGAACAGGCACCATCTTCATGGCCTAGGGAGAGGAAGGAGCTCAGAGGGGCTGCCTTGGACCACCCAGAACCCCCAGCTGCCCTGCCTCCCTTGACCCCAGGGAGAGCTGGGAGAGGCAGAGAACCAGCAGGAGGAGGGCTGAGGAAGCTGACCAGAAGACTGGATGTGACAATGGGAGGAGGAAAAGGAGCAGGAGGAGGTCTGAGAAGAGAGGAGGGTGGCCTTGGGGACAGGCACCAAGGGCTTGAACCCCAGGAAGGCAGAGCAATCTCAGGCTCCTTCCTTCCCTCAGTCCACCCCAGCCTGCAGAGCCCCCAACACCCAGGCGGGCCTCACCTCGATCCTCCATATCTGCACCCCGGGGGTGGTGATGTTGAGGGAGGCTTTGACCTGGGCGCTCAGTTTGGTCATGGCGGATGAGCCTAGGGGAGGGGGGTTGTGGGAGCAAGGACTGAGGAGCTGGGAGCGTTTCAGGTGCTCTCCTTCCAGCACAGGCCTGGAGAGCTCCCAACAGCTCCAGAGGCCAGGGCTCAGGGACTTGGGGAGGTGAGGGCTTAGTGCTCCTCCCCAGCCCCTGATTGGCCCGAGGGCCCAGCCTCCAGTCTTCCCACCCAGCTCTGATCTTGTCACTCTCTTGCTCAAACCCCTACCCTGACTCCCTATTACCTGATTAAAGCCCCCATTCTTTAGCTTGCCATTCAAGGCCCTTCTTTAGCCCCAAACACTTTTTCTTTTTGAAAATTTTTTATCAGAGCCATGTTGACTGCTTAAAAAAAAAGGAAAGCGAAGAATAAATAAGAGCCAAAAAGGGTATTTACCCCAAAGGAAAAACAGGTGTTCACAGAAAACTTGTACTTGAAATTCATAGCAGCTCTATTCACAATAACCAAAAGGTAGAAACAACTCAAATGTCCAGCAACAAAACGTGGTATATATCTCCACAATGGAAGATTATTCAGCCGCAAAAAGGAACCAAGTGCTAATACATGTTGCAACATGAATGACCCTCGAATACATTATGCTTCGTGAAAGAAACTGGACACAAAAGGCCATGTGTTGTGTGAGTCCATTTATATGAACCATCCAGAACAGGCAAATCCATACACATAGCAAGCAGATCAGCAGCTGTCAGGCGCTGGGGTGGGGGGAGGGGAGGGCCTACTAGTGGGCATAGAGTCTCCATCTGGGATGATGAAAAAATTCTGGAACTAGATAGTGGCCGTGGTTGTAGTTACAACATCGTGACTGTCCTGAACGCCCCTGGACTGTGTCCGTTAAAGTGGTTAAAATGGTAAATCTTATGTGTATTTTACCACAGTAGAAAAAGTGTATGTGGCAGTTTCATGTTCCTTCCTAGCTATCCCCAAACACCCCTCGGTCACTGTTCTGGTGGTGCTCGAGATCTAGTCCCCACAAGGGCGGGGATCATATTTGCTCAGTACTGAACCCCCAGCATCTAACACCATGTGAGCGCTTTGCAGAGTGGGTGGATGGATGGGTGGTTGGATGGATGGATGGATGAGTGAATGGATGGATGGACTGGATGGGTAGATGGGTGGATGGATGGATGGATGGTTGGATGGGTTAATGGATGGATGGAATGGATGGGTGGATGGATGGTTGGAAGGGTTAATGGATGGATAGAATGGATGGGTGGATGGATGGATGGATGGATGGATGGATGGATGGATGGATGGATGGATGGATAGGTGAGTGGATGGATGGATGGATGGATGGATGGATGGATGGATGGATGGATGGATGGATAGATGGTGAATGGGTGGATGGGTGGATGGATGGATGGATGGATGGATAGGTGAGTGGATGGATGGAATGGATGGGTAGATGGATGGATGGATGGATGGATGGATGGATGGATGGATGGATGGATAGGTGAGTGGATGGATGGAATGGATGGGTAGATGGATGGATGGATGGATGGATGGATGGATGGATGGATGGATGGATGATGGTGAATGGGTGGATGGGTGGATGAGTGGATGGCAGAGTAAACTCTCCCAGTGTGAACCAGCCTCCACCCATTGAGCTGAAAGAAACCTCCCTCCCCAAGCTTCTTTTATGGTATCTTTTATGGCTCATTCTGTTTTCACCTGTAGCTCTAGTCCCTGCTGCAGTTGCTCATCAGAATCACCTAGGGAGCTTTTAAACAATACCAGTGCTTTGATGCTGCTCAGGTCTATCCCCAGGGACTCTGATTTAATTAGCCTGGGTGGGGCCCAGGCCTGGGTACTTTATTTTCTGCCTTCTGGGAAGCGGGGCATGTGGACTTTTAAAACTTCCCAGAGAGGGGCGCCTGGGTGACTCAGTCGGTTAAGTGTCCAACCCTTGGTTTGGGCTCAGGTCATGTTCTCAAGGTTGTGAGATGGAGCCCCATGTCGGGCTCCATGCTCAGCACAGAGTCTGCTTAAGATTCTCTCTCTCTCTCTCTCTCTCCTCCCCTCCCCCCTCCCCTTCCCACTCAGTTGCTCTCTCTCTAAAATAAATAAATAAAAATCTTTAAAACAAAAAACTTCCCAGAGACTCTGCTATGAGCCAGGGTGGGGATCGGCTTGTCCCCATTTACTCTCATCCCTGGTTTTCTGCATCTCCCTATCAAGCTGGAGACCACCCCTATTCCCCACCAAGCCCACCACCCAGCCTGGCACAGCCTGGCACAGATCTGCCCTCCAAGAAGGCTCCTTGAATGCTCCTTGAATTGATGAACAATGAATGAAAGGTCGTGTGGCCCCGAGGGTCAGGCTTCATGCGCTGACAGCCTGGAACTTCCCTATCTAATCTCTCATGGCACCTTGACTCTGAGTCACCTCTTGGAACAATGACCTGGCCCTTTACTGCTGGGAAACTCCCTCTTCTGAGTCCTGAGGGGTGACCTCTCTCCCCAGCATTCTGGAGTCTGGGTCAAGGTCTCCCTGCCCAGCCTCTGATTAGCACCCCCTCGGGCAGATCAGGGGACCACATCCGGTCACCAGCGCTGTGTAGGAACCCCTGGTGCCTGGGCCCTGTCCGATGCCCCTGTGGGCCATGGCCCCTCTATGAGGTATTTCTCAACCCACAGAGACCGTAGGTTCCCAGGACCCCTGGGTCAGTAGGACCAATTTGGGTACAAAGGAGAAATGTTTTCTGTGTTATTTCATTTACCACTTTGGTCTACATCTTCCTTTCTCCGAGACAGATTCTTTGACACTCACTAGCTCTATGAACATGAGCCCGGTTCTTCATCTAGAGATGGGGGGAGGGTCGGGTTAACCAGATGACCTCTAGGGACATGCTCTGATCCTAAGAGCGAGCAGCAAGAGGAACTGAGGGTAGGGCGCCTGGGTGGCTCACAGTTGGTTAAGCGACTGCCTTCGGCTCAGGTCATGATCCTGGAGTCCTGGGATCGAGTCCCGCATCGGGGCTCCCTGCTCAGCGGGTAGTCTGCTTCTCCTGCTGGCCCTCCCCCATCTCGTTCTCTCTCTCTCTCAAATAAATAAATAAAATCTTCAAAAGAAAAAAATGGAATTGAGGGTAGACAGGAGTAGGCGCTTCTTGCCCATCAGATGAGTGGAGATTTGGGGGAGCAGGGATTTGGAAAAGCCAGTACGCTCCCTCCCTAGAGGAAAATCAGGATCCGGGACCCCTAGCAGCCTGAACTGGTAAGGGGGAGCCTCTGCTGGGGTGGGGGGCAAGGGGATCCTGAGGAGGGCGGCCCTGAGAGGTGAGCTCTTACCCCAAGGGTACCCCCACGGATACTCTCCGACGGCTCCTGCTCTCATCCATGTTGGTCCAAGCAGACGCCCCTGCCCCCCACCCCAGGTGGGCCCTCCCCAGGGAGGCTGTTGCTCCTGACCTGGTGGGAGGATTATGGGCTCCTCACTCTCCCATGCCCACAGCATGGCCCCAGGTTTGCATATGCACTGCCTTCTCCCTCAACTGGAGTTTGCTGGCTGCCACCCTCACTCCTGGTCCCCAGTATTCTCTGTCCCCTACTTGAGGAAGGGCGCCATTCCTCCCAGACCCCCCAAAGTCAGCTATCTGGGCAACACCCTGGAACCCTCCCTCTCCTGCCCTCTGTCCACCTGAATGTCCCTCCTGCCTGCCCACTGCCACACCCCTACCTCTCTCTGCTCGCTTGCTGCCTTCTAGTGATGCTGGACTGCTTGCTTGCCTTGGCCCCCCAGGCTGCTTTTCCCCCTCCCCCTATGTCCTTAGTCCTGCTCTTCCCTTTACTGAATGCCCTCCCCACCTTTCCTCACATGGCTGAACGTTACATGCTCCTTTAGACTCAGTTTAGTTCTCATTTCTTCCAGGAGACCTTCCCAGAATCCTCAGGCTAGACTAAGGACCCCTTCCCAAGGGCTCCAAGGCATCCTGGACCCATGCCACCCTTGACCCCCTAACCACGTGGTGATGAAGGATCTGTTTCTAAGTCTGAGGTCTCCAAGGTCAAGGACCTAGACTGTTCATCTGTGCAGACCCCAACTCTTAGCACATAGTAGGTGCTCAACAAATGTTCACAGAGCTTAAAGGCAGAACTGTGGAATGGATGGGGTGGATCATGCTGGAGCCCTGGTGGGACTTCGGGCTCCTGCACCACCAGGTCCCATTTTTCCTTGCTTAACTGCCACCCTGCTGCCGTCAGGGTTCCAGCTGCGGAGTGCTGTCACGGCTCTCAGTTCCCAGTCATGCTGTTCTGAGCTAGACATGGGTGTGGCAGGCCCTAGAACCCAGGACACCCTCCTGCTTCCCCAGGCCTGTGAGAGCGAGGAGAGAGGACACACCCCAGCATCCCAGGCTGCAGATTCTGCCCCTTGCAGACCTGGGATGCCTTTGCAGGCTTCCTGGGAAGGGGTGGACCGGATGTCCCAAGACCCTGGTCTGGACTTGGTTCCTACCTCCCCCCGACCCATTTCAGCTACATGGGGCCACCATGGCTGGTAAGGCCAGATGACAGGTCCTGGTGGAGGGGAGATGGGACAGAGCTGCATGCCTGGGTGACCAAGCATGGATGGGGGCCAAAAGGGCCCTGCCAGTCACCAGCCCCCTGCCTCTCTCTGTCTTTGCCCATCTAATTCCTGAGGGTTGTTGCTCACATCCTAGGATCCAGGAGCGCCGAGGCCCCAGCAGTGTCAGGGGGAATGGCAGCACAAAGAAAGAAACCGTTTCAGATGAAGAACAAATGGGCAGGGGCGCCTGGGTGGCTCAGTCGTTAAGCGTCTGCCTTCGGCTCAGGTCATGATCCCAGGGTCCTGGGATCGAGCCCCGCATCGGGCTCCCTGCTTGGCGGGAAGCCTGCTTCTCCCTCTCCCCCTCCCCCTGCTTGTGTTCCCTCTCTCACTGTGTCTCTCTGTCAAATAAATAAAATCTTTAAAAAAAAAAAAAAAAAAAGAACAAATGGGCAGAGAGACGGGGTGGGGCGGGGGAAGGG